CAAGTACAACAATCAACCAGTCAATAATTCTTTGTTAAATAAAACCAATAACTAATTTTGGATTTCCTCTCTTCCTGAACTTTCCCACAAGCATAACATAAAGTCTGAAACATATTTACCAAATAAACTAAACTTAGTTAACATCCATTTATAATTGGGAATTCGGCTAAAACAAGCTCCAACGTTACATGAATTGCGAAAACAAACACAAAAATATTGGCTTGTCAAAAAACACTGAATTATATTTGACTTTTAAACTTTAATCAGTAAGTTATCACTTATTCGCGAATTAAACACGCCGTTAGTAAATTTGACAGAATGATTGAACGACGTTTGCTAAGGTCATTAAATAAAATGACGTCGTTTTGAGATGGGATGAAACGACGTCGTTTTACCTATTTTTATTATCAAAAACATGTTGATCGCTTGAGTCAAACTTGAGAACTCATAGCCAAATTACAAGGATTCTTGCCCATGTGCTAGTGGCACTTTTAAGGAAATCTTTAACATGGTTTCTTTTATTGAGTATCAAAAAAAATCTTGAAAAATCTAAATTCTTTTTTAAAAATTACAAAAAATCTTAAAAATTCAAGAAAATTCTGAAAAGGTAAAATTCAAATTGAAATTAGAAATACTTTTTTTAAAAAAAACATTAAAAATTTCACAAAATCTAAAATAATTCAAAGAAATGCAAGGAGTTAAATTTAATGATTTAAAATTTTGAAACATATTTTATATAAATTAATGTACGTATTTTATCTCAAATATATTAGTTTAGAAAATAACAAAAAAAAATTCCAAAAATTTATAAAATAAAAAATCTAAAAAAATGCAAAAAATTAAAATTAATGATTAAAATAATTTGAAAACTCTTATATAAATGAATGCATGTAAGATAATATACAAAATTATATTTATCACACTATATTTTTTTATGATTAATGTATTTAAGATAAAATACAAAAATGATCTTAGATACATTATTTTTTATAAAAAAATTATTTTTAAATTATTTCAATCTTTAGTTTTTTGTCATCTTTTAATCATTAGTTTTCTTCGCATTTTTGGATTTTTTAGATTTTATGAAATTATTTTATTTATTTTAGCAAATTTTTTTTTTCTAATTTAATTTTTTATATTAGTATTTTCATAATTTTTGTTGATTTTTTTAAATTTTTTTAAATTTTAAAGTTTTTTTTTTAAAAAATTGGATACTCAATAAAAGAAAATATGTTACAGATTTCACTAGAAAATCCGTTAGCTCAATGGCAAAAGACCATATTGTTTGGCTTTGAGTTCTTGAGTTTGAATCCTGAGATAGACATGTTTTCATTTTAAAAGCACACAAAACGACGTCATTTCACTCAACGTAGATATTGGGGATGATTGGTTGAACTGTAGCTGTAAAAGTTTTACTGTATAAATTAGTCTGTAGAGTTTTTTGATTTAGCTGTAAGAGATGTAGGTTTAAAATTATCTACAGCAAAAAAGATGTAGCTTTAGAAAAAAAGGATTTTACAGCAATTTTCTTAGTTTTTGGTTGTAGCTTTAAAAAATATGATAAAGCATGATTGGTGATTTAAGTGCTGTAAATAAAAAATAAAACTAAAGTCAACACTTACAACCCAACCAATCACCCCCATTTAATGTTAAAATAACGGCGTCTACACTGTAAGATCACGGTGTGCTAAAAATAGCGAGTTAATGATAAGTTCTCAAATAAAATTAAAAAGTCAAAAAAGTACAGAATTTTATTAATTAGCTTAGAATTCAGGTTGTATTTGGCAATTCGTACAATTTTTTTTTTTTTTTTGGGCTGAATTCTCATATATAATTTGTATGCTGATTAATAACTGAATTTATTTGATTTTGAAGAATGAAAAAAGGAATGGACACAAACTTGTATATGTGATATTTAAGCAAAACAAGGGGGAGTTTCATGTGTTGTACTCTTTTGTCTTAGAAACTGCTTACATACGTATAGTCTAGACATATAGTTTTTAAAGGAAAATCTGGTTGTATGCATGAACCCTAATTTCGAGTAGCTCAGAACCCTAATCTAAAAACTGAAAATTTTATGAATATAAACAAGTTATGTCGAGTGAATATATGAACTATATGGGCCTGGGATAGTTTCCATATAAACAAGTTATGTCGAGTGAATGTCATTTTCTATACCTTGGCCGAAGTTATCCTATGTGTATCTCCAAGTAATTTCATTACTTCGCATGACCTTTGGACAGGTGTAACCGGTTATATCATAAGCAGCGTAGTAAATGTTCAAACCTGATTAATTAACTGAATTTTTTTTTAGATTAGTTAATGACATTACCGTACGTGGGACCAAGAGGACCCCTTGGCCACATAGGATAACTGCATTGCAATTCTTGTTCGTACACTTCGTCATCCCTTCAATCGTTTTGCATTACGATGTGCTCCCCTATCTGGGAGATCAATCAGAAGCAAAATTCAAGGTCTAGCCGATGCCTGCGATGTGGTTGAAGACTAGCGTGGTATTGACATCGACGTTTCGCGCCTTTGGCCTCCTTGGTCAATTTTTTTTTTTGCTTTGTTTTAATTTAAACTAGTATTTACCCACGTGCTTCGCACGGTCCGTTTCTTCCTTCTAAGTTCTAAACTTTTGATTTCTTTAAGAACTTTTTAAATTATTGCCACACAGGATAATGGTAAACACACATGCACCTGTTCTTCTAACAATTTTAATGTAGATTTATAAAGGAACTGTCTATTTTTTTGGAACATCATAAAGGAATTGTCTAACCCCTATCAAATGAAAGAATATAACTTGTTCTCGGATAATCAGCTATTTTAACATAAAACTAGATTTTTGACCCGCGATTAAAAAGCGCGGATACCATTTTTTTTGTTTTATCTACAAAGTCTTTTACTTTGATGATATAAAATGTCCCTATCTAATATAACTTTAAAAAAGTAATGCAAATTTTAATTTATTGTGAACATCAATATCTATTAAATGTATTGTATGTAATTGTCTAGTTTTATTTTGGAAAAATAATATGAATTAACTACGCTTGGTGCTGGGAAAGGGGTCAAACTCGTTCCGCCCGATCGCCTGACCCGCAAAGAAAATATATTTTTGAAAAATAAACTTAAATAAATTCTATTTTTGCGGATTACCGGGTACCCGCAATTGAAATTAGAACAACCATCATCCATTCCGTGTAAAATATACTTGACCCGCACCCGCATCTGCAACTTAAATTTTTCAAATCTATCGACCTGTTCCGCAGACTAATATCAAAATTCTCAATTCTAACTACGCTAATTAATGCTGATATGTTTATTTTTGAAAGAAACTTCATAAATAGTTAGAAGGTGAATTTAGTTCATTAATGAAACCCATTATTATATTGTTTTTAAGCCCAAAAATCAAAAGACTCTATTACCATTAATGAAAATAAAAATTTGTTCATATCATTAAGGATAATTTTGGAAAATGTAAAAAAACTCATCGATTTTATATCTGAAAAATCAATTTATGTCATAAAACTGAAGTAGATGTAAAACTTAAATTTGTTACATGTGATATTATCGTATTGTTTCTTGTGGTGGTTTCATGTGTTTCATGAATTTGTTCTTCTCATTCTTTATAGGTTAAAATAGGGTATATTTTCGACAAACATCTTGAGCATCCAACATAATATCAAGAGTGCTCGCTTTGAAATAATAAAATTGATGCAAGGCCACACAAGTAACTCAATAAATATAATCCACAAAACAGATAGGTAATAAATACTTAATACTCTTGCTTGTGAAGTTGAAGAAAATAGTCGCAAGTTTAGAAAGTTGGGCCCTTCTGAATGGGATCATGAAAAAGAATCCCTCTTTGCTAGTGTGGATGTTTCAATAAGTCTCTTTTTTCCACTCAACAATTTCAGTATGTCTCCTCTCATAAAATCATGTTCTTTTTTTGCTAAATGCATGAAGTCAGGGTTATATAATTTATTTTTCTTTGGAAGTAAATGAATGTGCTTTGACAGGGACAGACAGATGCATTGAAGCCACAAGTGAGGAAAATACTTCCTTACCTTACCTTCATTGCTCATGAAGTTTTATTTCCCATTCTTTTGAAGAATGAAGCTCTGATTCAAGTGTTATCTCTCCAATCTTTGAGATAGAAAACAAAATCAATAAATAATAATACTTATAAATATGTACAGTTTTCGTTACCGTAAAAATCTTTCTGAAAAAAAAAAGAAGTCAAAATATCAACAAAAAAAAGCACGACAATGAAGAAGAGAAACTGAAAAGAGCAAAGAGGACATAAATTAGTAAATATAATTTTATAAAGAATAAAAACAGTTTGATATTGTGAATCAGACTTTTGAACGTGGGATGACATGCTGTGAGAAAATTTAAGTATTGTGAACCAGATTTAATGAAACTAATACTGTATTAGTTTTATGAATTAAAATTAAAAATAATTAAGTTGCCATAATCATGGAATTACGTGTTTTTTTTTTATAAATGTTATCAAGTAAATTAATAAAAGAGATGGTCACTGGTGTCAATAGATAGATCTCTAGGATCACTTCATCAGATACTAGATACTGTGAAAGATTTTTCATATTTTATCATGTTCACATCAGTCAATAATAGTGAATATTACATTTCAACTACTAGCACTAAGTATATGCTTAAGTACAAATTAATTAACGTTGAAAGTTTTAATGTCGATTTCTGTAATATTAAGTACAAATTAGGTGTCATTTCAACTTCAAAATTCCCGATAATGTCTAAATATGGTTTACTTTAATATTTTACTATTTCTGTAATTTCTGTAAACCCGTAATTGTCCGAGAGACTTGTTGTTGCAAAGACTAGTTGTTACAAAGACTTGTTAATCTTTCAAGGACTTGCTGTTGCAAACACGTACAAAGACTTGTTATTGCATGAGACTTGCATGGCTTTATAAAACAAGAGCAGTGTCTGAGAGAGAGAGAGAAGAGAGATTTGAAATGTCGAAGATAACTTTAGGGAACGAATCAATTGTTGGGTCTTTGACTCCATCGAACAAGAAATCTTACAAACTGACCAACAAGATTCGAGAAGGGGACACCCCTGTGTATTCTGTTGTTTTTAACTTCCTTGATTCTCGTTTCTTCAGTGTCTTCGCCTCCGCTTGTGGAAATAGGGTAAAGTTTTCTTCTTCACTTGTCTGAAAAATTGAAACTTTGCTTGTGATGGGTTCCTTTTCAAAGTGTAGACTTAGTTTGATTGACTATGAACCGTCTAGCTTAATGTTTTTGCTATTGGAGATTCTGTGAAAGTTTATTGCTTTTAATTTTTCTGTCTTAACCTTTTACTGAGCTGAGTCATAAATCTCATTACTGCCATTGGTTTATCTCTTATTATGTAGATTAATCTGTACAACTGTCTTGAAGATGGTGGAATAGCTCCATTGCAATCCTACGCTGATGAAGATGTAAGGAAGTATATATTCATATCATATAGTTTCCATGAAATAAAAAAAGCAACAACGTTTCATTGGGTATATATATGTTTGTGCTTTGGTGATCAGAAGGAGGAGTCATTTTACACTGTAAGCTGGGCGTGTGGCGTTAAAGAGAACCCATTAGTTGTCGCAGGAGGAGAGAAAGGCATAATCCGAGTCATTAACGTCAAGGATGAAACGGTTCACGTCAATGATGAAACGGTTCATAAGGTATTAATTAC